TTGTTACGGCAACCAACTGATCAATCATCTGATATCAAAATCTGATTTCAATGTCAACCGCCTGTCTAACGCCCCAGGATTTGAACTCCCTCTTGTCAAAACACCCCGCCTTTTGTCCACATTAAAACTCCGTCGTCTGTTAATACGGAGAAAACACATTAGCGAGCATGCTGGGGATCATTTTCATCAACCCGAAAAAGATTCTATCATCGCGGGGATAGAATTTTGTCCACGTTAGGACTCTACATTCCGTCAACACAGAAAAATCCCGACGACTTCGCTGGGGGAATATTTCTTCCTAATCACAGGAGACCTTTCTTATCTCTGCATTTGCTAACTCCGTTGGGCCCAACCCACAAACGACTTCGAGGAGGACTCTACTGGGGACAGTAATAGTTCGTCAATAAGAGGAAATCACGACGACTTCCTTGGGGAAACAAATATAAATATGATAAAAAAAAAATCCAAAATAGCTTTTTAAACTTCTCTAATTTAAAACATATTTGTAACAAATAAGAGCACAAAATAATGGTGATCATTATTTTTTTAAAAAGTAAAATGAAGAAATTACACACAACTTAAATACCAATTGATTTAAAAAGTTTTGAATACTGAGAGAGAGAAAACTAGGATTTTCTAGTATGGATGTGTGTCGCCTCCTCTTTTGTAGGGGTCTTTCCTCTGACATAGACATTATCCTTTCCTCTGTGGAGCTTTCTCCCCTATTGTGGGGTTTCTTCATTTCACTCTCATTCCTTTGAATCATTCATTTATGTTGGATCATTATCTTAATCTACTTCCTACCTTTCTCATGATTTCACTCATCATTGCCAACAATCATCCAATTCTTGCAACTCTGAAACCATCTTCGCCAACCAATGGGCCAAAATGATATAGACATGGAAAACGACCTCTTCCAGAACCACAAATAGAAAACTGTGTAATTGCATATTGATCATTTTGCATAATCTGATGGACATATACACATATATAGAATGATAGCTTGGTTAACAAGATCTAAGAATCAAGCGAATAATAATGGTTATATCCCAACATAGAAATTATGTATGTTAGGCTAATAATGAATTATTAATCACAATAAAATACAATCAATTATATTCTGATATGATCCAAGTATCAAGGAATTTTTTTCTAACTCCCCCCTTTAAATTGGTGGTGGGAGAATCATCCTAAGTTTGTCTTTGAGTTGATTGAATCGTGTATGTCTAACAGTTTTATTTTGTAGCACTTGGTCTTTAATGTAATGGACATTAATTTCAATATGTTTTTTAACGTACGTGCATAACTGGATTAGAGGTTAATGCCTTGGCACTTAAGTTGTCACACCATAGGATATGTTTTCTTGATTATGGAAGCTTGAGCTCAGCAAGTAGTGATTGAGTCCATGATATTTCAGCAGCTAAATCAGCCAAGACCATGTACTCTGATTTTGTACTTGATATTGATACCACTTTTTTCTTTCTTGAGTATCAAAAAACCAATGTTTCACCAAGAAATACACATTGACCAACCATAGATTTTCTTTAATTAACACTAATGACCCAATCTGCGTCTAAGAAACCTGCTATATCCAAGTCATTGAAAGGCTTAATGTACAAGCGATTATTAATAGTACCTTGGAGGTACCTTATGATCCTTTTTATCCCTTTCCAATGGTCAACAATAGGTGAACACATGTACTGACTGAGTTTATTTATATAGAAGGCTATGTTAAGCCTTGCGTGTGTCAAGTAATGTAATCTTCCTGTAGCCTGCATAAACACAATTAGATCTTCCATTTTCTCTCCCTCAACTGTGAACCGCTTCCCTGTGACCTTAGGTGTTGGACAAGGTGAGGCTTTATCCATGTGAAATTTATTTAGTAAATCACCTATGTACTTGAATTACTTAAGATACATACCACTTGCATATCTATGAACCTCTATTCCTAGGAAATAGTGCAAGTTACCCAATTCTTTTAAGAAAAATACTGCATTGAGTTGCTTGATGAAACCTTTAAGGAATTTGGTGTTGCTTCTTGTGACTAAGATGTCATCAACATATATGAGAAGGAAAGTAATATGATCTTTTTCTTTGGGGATGAATAGAGATGAATCACTTTTAGTGTTATGAAATCCCTAGCTAATAATGCATTTTTTTAGACTATCAAACCATGCTTATGGTGCTTGCTTCAGTCCATATATTGCATTTAACAATTTTCATATGTGATTTGGCTTGGTTGAATATATAAATCCCTCTAGTTAATACATGAATACCATTTCTTTAAGGTAGTCATTGCGAAAACCATTATTGATGTGTAGTTGCTTTACTTCCCAATTAAGGTGCACTGCAATTAAAAGAATTGTCCTGATTGTGCTTGCTTTAATTACAAGACTAAACGTCTCTTCATAGTCGAGTCCAACTATTTGTTGAAATCCTTTTACCACTACTCGTGCTTTCCTCCTTTCTATTGCACCATTGGCTCTGTACTTGGTCTTAAAGACCCACTTGGAATCAATAATGTTTTATTGGCCTTGGTAAGGCACTAGTGTCCAAGTGTGATTGGACACTAGTGCTTGAAGTTCATTGTGCAATGCTTTTATGTGATTTTTTTGACAACTGTTTGAAGATTAAATCAATTTAAATATAGATTTAAATTTGAATTTAAGTTAAAAACAAAACATATATTTTGTTGGAGATTTTTGTGGAGTAAATCAAATCCAACTGTATCAGCTTTATATTTAGACGAAATCAAATTAAATGCCCATTGTAAAAAGCCCAGAAGAAGCATTGTTATTTAAGGAGCTCAAACCTCACATTTGAGGTGTGCATGTTTTGAAAACTCTTTGTGTCAGGGTTTCTATTTTGAGTTTTTGTTTAAGTTATTGTTATGCACCACTCTAGCGCATGAATTCAATCTTAAGACATATAGTTTGGTTTATTTGTTTGGTTGTAACACTTTGTTCCTAGACACTAATTCTATAAACTTGAGAACAAAGTATTTGTGTGATACGATTGTTTCATCTGCTCAATCATATTGTAATTGTATAAAAACTTGGGAGAATGTTTGAGTGAAAGTGATAGGGTTACCATATTTAGAGGGAGTGTAGAACGAAGCTTCACAGGTAGTATTAGGAAAATGGCCTTGAATTGGAAAAGTTCAGAGTATGCCCATCTAAGCTTCTGACTATTGGAAGTGAAATAGTTCTATAGCGAGTCCTATATAAAAGGTCACTAGGATTAGGAAGAGGCACTGAATAACATGTGATATTTGTTCCTATAAGACTAATTGTACTAATTCAAAATAGTGAATTTACTTTCTTTGGTAGAGTGACATCCATACATAGGTGTTGTTTGCATCGAACTAGGTTATCAATTCCTTTGTGTTATTTATTTGCTTTATGCATTTATCATCTTGCTAGAAAACTTTTTTTCCTGGTATAGAATGTCACAGACTTTGTGTCTGACATTTGTCCCTAGAATCTGTTATCAATCATAAACTAGTTGTACATGTTGTCTCAGGCATCTAGTCCAAATTCTTTCCTCCTGAGAATAGAATTTCAATGGTAACTAATTGTTAATAATATTTTTATAATTCATTTGTTACACTTGTTATAAATATTGTATTTGAACCATTTTCAATGATGGATCATCTCTCATTTCCCTCGGGTTTGAAATTGTGGCTGCCTACACTGAGGATTGGCCGCGTGGTTCCGTATTTATTTCATACGGAGGTTATAATGAGACGCGTCTATTTGACGTCATTTCCTTATACTCCGGATGGTTGACATGTGGGTCAGTTTGATGTTTTCTTATTTTTTAGAGAAAGTGAAACAATAGTTTGGCTATCTACAAATTATTTTGAGACACCTCTCAAAGTATTCTCCTCCCACCGTCCATCACAGAGATCTTAATTCGATAATTGACAATTTCGGGAGATCCTTGATACTAGAGGAATATCGCATGGTACTAGCTCCTGTATAGTGGACCTATGTAGACGACTACATGACCTGGTTGTATAAGGTGCCACACCCTATCATGACACCAGACGCTTCTGGAAGATCAATTAGGCCAGCTAACTAAGAGGTACTTAAGGCTCGGGATGACCACACCGAGAGTGTAACAGAGGTCTGTCAGCGTGTTATAAAGATGGGTATAGCAAGCATAAAGGCATGACTATTATAGGATGGGAGTCCCCAATTGGCCTTCATGGAAAACATGGTTGTCGAGTTACCATATATTGTGCAGTACATTCGGAGGAGGAGAAACTAGGGAATTTGACATACCCAGTAGTTTATGTTTGAATGTATTAATTTTGTATTTTCGGATAAATATTATGTATGGTGTTGCATTTATGAATTAATGTATGACTTTTTGCTTTCATTTACCTTTAATTAAACTTGATTTTACGTTAATATAACTTGGTCTTAAAAAATTATAATTAATGGAACAAAGGTGTTGTTCTGAAACTATTCGGGGGGTTCCGGAGATGTATCTCCGAAGTAATCTCCTCTTAACATTATCATGCTTCCAATACTTGTAAAAAGGACTTCAGGGGACATTTCAGATATACATCTCCAGACATACTCATACTCAAATAATATATGAATATGCATCTCCAAACCATATTTTGATCAAAATAAGATAGATCTCGTAATAACACATTTTAATATTATTTGAATGTTTCGAATTTTCAAAGATCTAAAATACACACGTAACCAGCATTTTCCAATTAAATAAAACTTCTAGCCTTCTTATTACATAGGCCTAAAAATATATGGGCCTAGAAACTAAACCCATTTACACTTTGTCACATTCCATAACAAGAAGAACAATTGATTGAATCTATTAATTCATTTATATTGAAGTAATTAATTAAATATAAGAAAAGATCTGATCAAAGTCAACGAATATTTTGTAGTGCTATCTCATCATATATCTCTAAATTTGAACCAACAACATATCATTCATCACTTTTGCTAGAGAATTGTGTCAAATCAATGGCCGACACTATTTTTCAATATCCTTTTAGAAACTTTTTCTTGGACCATCCTCCAATTCTTAAAGAATACTATGGCTCAACAGCACTATTGGATTGGATTGAATCTCCAACTGCTCATATCCTCAAAATCAACGTTCCAGGTAAAATTTCAATGACCCAAATGGATTCTTGAGCTGTGATTCTATATTTTGTTGTAAAAAAATAATCTTTCTGTCGATTAAAATTGATTTTGGATAGGATTCAAGAAAGATGAGATAAAAGTGCAGATTGAGGAAGGGAATGTTTTGCACCTCAGAGGAGAAAGTTTGAAAGAGGAGAATCATGGGAAGGAGATTGTTTGGCATATTGCTGAGAGAGGAAATGGAAAACAAGATTTTTCAAGGATGGTTGAATTGCCTGAGGATGTGAAATTGGATGAGATTAAAGCACATATTGAAAATGGAGTTCTCACTGTTATTGTTCCTAAAGATTCATCGCAAAAAGTTCGAAATATTAACATTAATAGTAGGCTTTAAGCTTTGGAAAAAGTTGGAAATATATGAATAAGAAATGGAAAACAATTGTATGTTGTGATAATTGATATATTGCACAGTTATTGAACTTTGTACTTTAGATATTTTTATGTGTTCAACATTGAATGAACATTCTGTAGAAGCACTTATTTTATGTTTGGAAGACATTGAAATGTCCTCAACAAGAATTATTGTCTTTACTAAGTTGTTTGGTTGTAGAAAAACGTTTTTTTTTTTTTAATATTGATTATAGATTAAGCTCTAATTTGGAGTTTTATGTGTGTTTATATATGTTGTGACAAAATTTAATTTAAAATGAATAGATTTTCACTAATTGTAAAAATTAATGACGTGATCATTTTTAATAATATGTAATCTATGTTTTAATCTTTAAAGGTCATAAGAGGTTTCTTTTTCTCCTTCTCAAATTTTTACTCTAAAAATTAATGTGTAACTTATATATTTTGTGAATCAAGTAAAATAGTGTAACAAAATTGTAATTCATATTATTGAATGTCTTTCAAAGGGGATATATAAAATTGTAATGTCTTTCAATAGATTACATTTATGTTCAATTTAAAATCATTATTTTTTTCAGAAAGGATGTCGAGTAATACCTATAATATAAAAGATGATGAATAATAAATTTAAGTGATTTTAGTATATAGATAGAAGATATGTAAATTATGTGGTAAAGAGAACAAATTAGATGTAAATTATGTAAAATAAAATTATAAAAAAATTATTAAAATTATTATATTAATAAATTGGATAAGTTTGGTTGTCGTATTAGATAAATTTTAATTCATTATTATTCAAAAACAATTTTATAAATAAATTTTCATCATTAAAAAGCAAACACATTAATGTTTACAACAAACAACGATCAAGCATATGCCAAACTCACTTAATTGCGGTTGCCAGCTGTAAATGTGCATTTGAGATGGCTGGATAGTGGACTTATAACCAAACACCTACTCGTTGGATACTTGTTGTATTCATTCAACTATTATGGCCATTTATGATATTTTAAACTAATTTTGTTTATAATATTTAAACATTATGAATAAATAATAATCACCTCTATAATAATGTGTAATTATAAAACAACTTATATTCTTGGTAACTCTCTTAGTATCACACACATATGTAAAAGAAAGAAAGTGAAAGAAAACTCTATCTTTATTGATGAATACAAAACAATCACAAAGAGTTGCTAATCTCTAACTAGCTAAATTTAACTAAGGTAAATTAATATAAGCTAAGTCAAATAGGTAATACCCTCATTCAAATTGGACTATGTAAATAGCAAAGTCATATTTTGGAGGTAAAAGACTTTAAAGAAGTAGCATGTAATAGTTTAGTGTAGAAGTTGGCTAGTTGAAAAGTTTGAGAGAATTGATAGCAACTTTATTACACATTATTAAAAATTTTAGTTTATAAAATGAAAGTTAATCTCAATGTGTTTGTCGTTTCATTAAAGATAGAATTGTGTGAAAGATAAATCGCAAGTTTGTTGTCAAAATAGAGAATAGAGATATTAGTAATAAGAAAACGAAGTTCATCTAAGAGGTATTAAATTCATTGAATTTCTCTTTTCAGCTTAACTAAGGTCGTGTAGTCAACTTCTGAAAAAGAAGAAGATGAAACAATCTTAACTAAGGTCGTGTAGTCAGCTTCTGGTGTCAATGCAACAATCCAAATAAAATTCGTAAACATAGATAACTTGAGGCAATTTATGTGGTTATATGTGTTGTGCATGTAATATCTTCAAATGGGTTTGATGATAACAACTCTTAAAATAGTTTCTAATGATGACATCTCAAGAAAGAAAGAAATATCACAAGTTTCATCAATACAAATGTATCAAGTTCCAATTGAAAGTGATATACAGAGTTTAATCAAACAATTGACTATTTCAAAACCCATGGACTATTTCATTTTTATCCTGTATAAAAATGGTTTCTCCTCATTTAAAAAGATACAAATTTTCTAAATAGAAACTCTCTACTATCATTCTCTCACTCATTCTTTTATAAATTTTTTTTTACTAGAGTCGCCTTAATGCTAAGAGAGTAAAAACTTTTATGCGAGATTTGTGTTGTACTAGTATTTTATTGTAGTTGTTTTAAAGAACATAATTTACTTATGATTTATTTATAATAGACTTGAAGGTTGCAAGTTAAACCTCTAAAAAGTTTGGGTGAAGGTTATTGAGCTAATTCTGTGTAAAAGCTCTAACTGTTTTAGGTTATTGAGCTAAGCCTATGTAAAAGTCTGGGTTGTTTGAGAAAGACTTTAGGATTGATTCTATGTAAAAGCTCGAGTTGTTTTGTAAGGTTGTTTAGGTTGATCCTTGTGTTCCGGGATGATTTTATTAGGCCATAAGAAGAGATAATCTATGAAGAATAAGGAAAAGCCAAACACATTGAGTTGAACGAGTATATAATAAGGCCCTAGTTCGCTCGAGGCTTTGCCCCATGATGGTAGGCTATGGATAATACCCACCCGGCATGGGCCACTAGCGACCTAGTTTGGCTTGATCCATCTGAATCAGCTCCATTTATGCAGTGAACCTGGACAGTGTTGGGGTCACTCAAAGCGAGAAAACTGTGTTGGGTGAGAATATGGAAGTATAAAAACAATTTAAAGGGGGTGAATAGACCTTTATTAAAAAAAATTCAACTGGTTTTCCAAAAATATAATATCAGAGGTTTTTCTAAAGTACACGTGACATGTTTGAAATGTTGGAACAAAATTGGTCAATACCATATCCCTTGGGTTTTTAGGATAACATAGTATTTAAAGAATAATTGGGCTATCTAACATCTCTTCAAGTTTGCAGGAATATATTCATTAAGAACAAATACAAAGATGCTTAAGGAATCTACATCTGAAGATCATACTCTGGCTCTGAAGATCACTTCTGAAAACTATACCTCTAATGGAGATCCAAACTCTGAAGAAAGTCGTCCTCTGGTGACTCAGACTCTGAAGTTTTAGAAGCCAAGAAATAGACTCTGAAGTGATCAGCCTCTGAAGATTAAAGTTTGAAGAAAATCAACCTATGAAGCTAAAACTCTTCAACCGAGGCAACTTTGACAAACTCATAACCTTTTTGATCACATGTATACTTAAGGAAAAATATCTCTTTTGGTGTCTGAGCTTCAGCAGATAATTCTTTTGCATAAAGGTGCTTTGTTAATGTGTCTAATCAAGTACAAAGCTAGCCCAACTTATTTGGTCAAAGTCTTCAACGTATCTTTTCTCTCTGCCTATAAAAAGAGCTGCAAACCTGAAGAAAAAGACAACCAAGTGCCAATACAACTCTGCTACAGACTCTGAACCTGGATATTCAAAGAGAATCTACTATATCATATTTGTTAGAATTATAACATCTTAACACTTATATATTTTAGAATTTCTTAAGTCTTAGAGTCTTCCTAAGTTGTATTTTGTCCTCTGATTGAATATCAACTGGAGTTTGTTACACAAATCTTTTAACACTTTGTTGAGAGTCAGAAGTCTCTTGCTTTAGTGCTTGATCAATTTGAAGTCTTGAGCTTGTGTGCTTGAGCAAGAAATTCTCTTACCTGTGTGTTTGAGCAAGGAAGTCTTTAACTTGTGTGTTAGAGCAATGAATTCTTGAGCTTATATGCTTGAGAAAGAAAGTCTCAAACTTGTGTGTATGAGCAAGGAAGTATTATACTTTTGTGTATAAGCTAATGATGTCTCTTGCTTGTGGAATTGAGCATTTGTAATCATATTTGGTTATAGTGTAAATCCCTTGAAGAGCAATGGAACTAAACTACTCGCAGGTTGTGTGAGGAACCAGGATAATTCCTTATGTCTTGTGTTTTTACTTTACTTGCTTCTAAAATTATTCCACTGCTATCGTTTACTTATCTATGAATTAGATTGTATTATAGAATATGATAAAGAATTTTAAAGGTTCAGACTCTGAGTGATTCCAAAGTCAGACTCTGAATTGTAGGTTCAGACTCTGATTAAGATTAATCGGAAGCAGAAGTTTAAAAATAAAAACAAAAACAACACAATTCAACCTCCTTTCTTGTGTTTTTCTCACCTTCATTTGGAATCAAAGCACAGTCTGTGTTGAAAACTTAACAGCGGTGCAAAAAATATCCTGAGAAAAATACATATTCTTTATGGATGATGAATCTGAAGTATCTAGTTCAAGTGGGGGAACTCCTAATCCTCTTGGTTCTGTTAATTATGATTATAGTATCTCTAAGAAAAATAATTATATAACTAAACCTCCTACTTTAAATGGAGATTCCACTGAGTTTGAATAGTGGAAAAACAAAATATATATTCACATCATAGGTCTCGATAATTAGTTATGGGACATTTTATAAGATGGTATTAATATCCAAGTAAATGGTGTTGGAATGGTATCTAACAGAAAATCTATCACACCTGAGCATAAAAAGATTTACAGAAAACACCATAGAGTTAGAGACATCTTGGTTGATGCTCTACTTTATTCCGAGTATATCAAAATCATTGATAATTCAACTACTCACACCATTTTTAAATCCCTATGTTCTACCTATGAAGGGAATCAACGGGGTAAAGAGGCCAAGGCTAACCTTCTAGTATAACACTATGAGATGTTCAGAATGAAGTATGATGAAGATATTGAAACCATGTTTTTCAGGTTTTAAGTTCTTGTATTAGGACTTTAGGTTCTAAATAAAAGTTATACCACATCAGACTATGTTAAGAAGATTTTAAGAAGTCTTCATGTCAGAGATAGACCTAAGGCCAGAGCTATTCAGGAGGCTCGTGACCTAAACAAGTTATCACTTGAAAGTAAGATAAGCAACCTTCAGAGCCCATGAGATGGAGCTAAATGAAGATGAGCATGTCAACAAATCTAAATCACTGGAATTAAAGTCAGTTGTTGGGAAAGTCGAGGATAAAGCTGTCAGATCCTCAAAATTCTATACAGCAAAAGAAGCTTCTGATGAAGAAGATTC